CAACACAACTCTGAAAACGAGAAAAACTTGACATCATGGAAGTCCTGAAGAATCCATCTCTTCACATCCCACCCTAGCAGAGAACATCCCTCCCTACAAGCTGCTCCAAGAAGTTCTGGAAGTAGACAAATAGAACACAGACTCTACCCACTCTGGGATTCCCTACTCAGCCTGTGATGGGCTCTTAGGGCTCCTGCACACTGTCAGAGACAAGAAGCATCAGCATCACACACTACCAGAAAAGGTTCTTAGGCTTCTCTAAACCAACTCCAATATTAAGAAAGAAAAATTGCAGCCAGGCGTGGTGACACACACCCTTAATCCCAGCACTTGGAAGGCAGAGGCAGGTGGATCTCTGTGAGTTTGAGGCCAGCTGGGGCTACAGGGAGACCCTGTGTCAAAAAGGAGGAGGAGGAAGAAGGAAGAAGGAAGAAGGAAGAAGGAAGAAGAAGAAAGAAGAAGAAGAAGAAGAAGAAGAAGAAGAAGAAGAGGGGGAGGAGGAGGAGGAGGAGGAAGAAGAGGAAGAAGAAGAAGAGGAGGAGGAGGAGGAGGAGGAAGAGGAGGAAGATGAGGAAGACGAAGAAGAAGAGGGGGAGGGGGAGGGGGAGGGGGAAGGGAAGAGGAGGAGGAAGAAGAAAAATCACCTATTTTAAATATGAAAAAGAAGACATTCACTGTTATAAAGCTACTAAACACCTTTTATTCCACCATGTAAAATGTCCTCTGAAAACAACAAAACTTAAGTTGTCTCTGGCACTGAAGTTTTAACTAGGCTGGGACCAAAAATCAGATGAAACCTTAATAGCAGCTTTAAAACTATGGGACTGGAGATTTCCAACAGGCAGATCCCAACAAACCTCTTCCAGAAAAGAAAAGGGCCAGATCCTCACTGGGGTTTTCTGCTGGTGTTTTTTGTTTATTCTTGAGCAAGACACAGTTAAGTACAATCTCAATGCCTAACTTTTCCTTTCAAGGCAAAATTCAAATCTGGCACCTTGAAAGTCCTTTTCTTTGCATTAGTCCTTTCCTAGCACCACCCTCAGGAAGATTCGTTGAGCTAATCCAAAGAAAAATAAACCAGAGGGAGTTTAATCCACACATCTTTGTAGATGCACTCTTTGTCCTTGAAAATCAAATATTCAGGTTAAAAAAGAAGCCTGGCGTGGTAGTGCATGGCTACATAGTGAGTTCCAGGACAGCTGGGGCTACAGGGAAACCCTGTCTCAAAAAGACCAAAAAAAAAAAGAGAGAGAGAGAGAGAGAGCACTAATGTGTGTATTTCTTTTTTTTTTTTTTTTGGTCTTTTTTGAGACAGGGTCTCCCAGTAGCCCCAAGCTGGCCTTGAACTCACAGAGATCTGCCTGCCTCTGCCTCCTGAGTGCTGGGATTAAAGGCGTGTGTGACCACGCCAGCTAATGTGTGTAGTATTTTAAGTAAAGTCTATACAAGGTCTCTAATCTCTGCTGGAATGATAGTCCTCTAAAGCTATTAATTCACTCCCACAGTGCTCCCTCCTTCACCAACTGAAGACTCCAACTGACAAGCATCTTGATATCCGCTCACTGCAACAGAACTTTCAATAGGAATACTGGAAAATTCTATTGGTTCTAGTCACTTTAAAAGAAAGAACATAAGGCCAGGCATAGTGGTGCATGCCTTTAGCCCCAGCACTTTGTGAGTTTGAGGCCAGCCAGGGCTACATAGTGAGACCCTGTCTCAAAAACCCAAAATAAATAATAAAGAACATTTACAACTTCATTTCATATAAGAGCAGAGGGAGCGCTGCCGCCCCCACCCTATCGGTCTACACAGGACAGACCCCAATCCATCCTCACACCTGGCTGTCAAGAGCCAAAGACCACCACAGAGGCTGTCCTTCAGCACAGAAATTTCAAATTAACGAAACAAGGGGCTGGAGAGATGGCTCTGAGGTTAAGAGCACTGGCTGCTCTTGCAGAGAACCCAGGTTTGAATCCTAGCACCCACACGGCAGCTAACAACTGTCTATAATTCCAGTTCCAGGGGATCTGATGCCTTCTTCTGTCCTTCACAGGCACTTCATGACATGGACACTTACATACATGCAAGCATAACAGTCATACATATAAAATAAAAATAAAGCTGGGCGTGGTAGCGCACACCTTTAATCCCAGCACTCAGGAAGCAGAGGCAGGTGGATCTCTGTGAGTTCGACGAGGCCAGCCTAGTCTACATAGTGAGTTCCAGGTCAGCTGGGGCTACAGGGAAACCCTGTCTCAGACACACACACACACACACACACACACACAATCAAAATCCACTGGACAGCTCAGGGCAACCACCCTTTTCCTGCAACTAGTTTCTGTACAGAATGAGGGACTCGTGATGTTTTTTCTCTAGGTCCCTTCTGAGTTTACTCCTAAAGAGATTCTACCCACAGATTATTCCTAAGAGAACTAATCTCTACTGCTGCTTATCAGAATCTAAATTGCATAAGTTTACACTTTCTCTTTGTAGAAACTTGAAATTTTCTCAACTGTAATAAATTAAGAACTGTTTTATGAGCTAACACTACCACCTATACAGGAAAGCCTCCATATTCTTCCAAGAGCTTTTCAGCAATATGCCAGTTTTGGTTGGAACAATCTTGTGACTTGAATGTGATTTTCTGCTCCACTCACCAACAGAGAAACAATGAACTGCCTAGCATTTATCTCGGGATTATGGAAATTTTTATTCTGGTCAGCCAATCTTCTTTCAAAGAGGTACCTGTTTCATGGAGACGTGCTGATCTCTAAAATGCATTATTCATAAGCCCAACTCTGCTGCTCAATTGCCTTTCTACTAAAAGTACTTATGCAAGACCTTTTGAAGTATGACTCTGTCTGTGGGACGGAGGCATTTAAAACACCCCTCCTCTCACTGCCACTGACCCACAGTGTAAGTATGTAAACCGCATTGAAGGACGCTCTGCCTACAGTCTCCCTCTTGGTGACTGCCGGTAACACACCTATCAGGCGCAGGGCCAGATTAAGTAGCACCTCTTCTAAAAAGCAAGTACTAAAAGCAAGGACGAGACGCAAGAACACACCGACATTCCCGAATGCTCACAGAAGCAAGAAGGGAGATAAAAATTTGCACAGAGACTTCCAGGGCCATCTGGAGATCCACTAGGGTAAACGTCACAAGGAGTAACAGTCACAACAGGGAGCAAACCCTGTTTTGCCTCTTGGTTCCAATGCAAGGCCTCAGCACTGAAACCAGAAGAAAGGGGATGTGGAGAAAGAGTGCAAGGGAGTTTGCACTCTGCAAAGGACCAGGCAGGGACAGCGACCTGAGAGCCTGCTGCTTCTCTGCCACATACAGAGGTGGAAAGGGCCTATCATAAAACACCTGCACAGGACACATCTGAGAAGGAATCTCCATCGGTGCACTCAAAAAGAAAAAAAAAAAAATCAAAACAAAAATTTAAAAAAACTTAAATCCAATACACAGCAACCACGCTACAAGCCACTAAGTGTGTAAGCAAAGCAGCAAAGGCTGATTCCACGGGGTTCAAGGCATCTGTATGGTCCACGGTAATATCCAGAGTCCTCTAACCCTGGTGGAGAACCCGGCCCAGGACCGCTCTTGCGACATCCTGCTCCCCTGACCAAGAGGTCAGGAAAAACACTGCTACTCCCCGCTTCAAATGCACTCGCAACGCCGAGGAAAAGGACCTACAACATCCTCGGCACCTGGCAGGACACGCCAAGCACCGCAGTGATTTCCTCCACGTCCCTTCGTTTAAAATACAAGTTTCAGGTTTCCTCGGAGGCTTCACGGTGCAGCCAGCCACGCTAACGCGTCTTCCCAGCGGCCGTCCGACCAGTCCCCGCAGCCCAAGCCCAGTGGGGATCAGCCCACGAGGGCGCCGAGGCCCGCGGCCGGCCCCGGGAGGTCTGAGACTCCCGGCTACCGTCCTCACCGGGCCCGGCGGCGGCTCCAGAGACGCGCCCGCAGCTCCGGGCTAGACCCGGTGCGCCCCGGGCCTCGCCCGTCCGCCCGCGGCCTCCGCCTCGCTCCGCACGCCCGCTTCTCACCCGCGCAGCTGCGGCCAGCCCTCAGGTACAGCGGATCAAAACCCAGCCGGCGCTGGAAACTAGCGCAGACTCAGCAACCACCGCAGCCATCTTGCCACATCCGGCTCCGGTCGCCGTCGCCGCCGACGTGTCCGGCGACGACGTCAGCGCGCGCCCCGCCCCTCTTGGCTCCGCCCCTCGCCCTCGGCCAGTCTCTCGCCGCTTCACCCCTTGCCCCGCCCTCTTGCCCCTCCGCGCCTGTCCTTCAGGGCCTCATCCTTCGTCACGCCCCTCTTGGCTCCGCCCCTCGTCCTCGTTCAGCCTTTCGCGGCCTCACCTCCTTGCCCCGCCCCCTCTGCACCTGTCCTTCAGCGGCCCATCCTTCGCCACACCGCCCTAGACACCGCCTCTGGCCCTGGTCCAGTCTTTCAGCCCCCTTGTCCCGCCCTCTCGGCTGCGCCCCTCGCCTTCGTCCAGTCTTTCGCCGCCTCACCCTTTGTCCCGCCCTCTTTGCCCCGCCCCCTGCACCTGTCCCTCAGTGCCTCATCCTTCGTCACGCCCCTCTTGACTCCGACCGGGGTCCTCGTCCAGTCTTTCGCGCCTCACCTCTTGCCCCGACCTTCTGGCCCCGCCCCCCACGCCTGTCCTTCAGCACCTCGTCACGCCCCTTTGGCTCCGCCCCTCATCCTCGTCCAGTCTTTCGCCGCCTCATCACTTCGTCCCGCCCCTGGCCCCTCCCCCCCTCGAGTCTGTCTTTTATAGACCCACCCCCGTGGTCCCGCCCCTCACCCACCTGCCGGGTCCAGCGCGCGGCCCCGCCTCCCGACGTCGCCCTAGGCCCTGGTTACGCCTGCTGTCTCACAGTCCTAGTTTTAGAATTTGAGCACAGAGGATTCCTCAGTCGAGACCCCCCCCAGGGAAAAATAGTCTTGAAAGCAGCTCCGCGGGCCGTTCCGCCCTTTCCCTCAACATATTTCTGTTGGAGTCCCTTAGATGCCGGCGGAGCGACTGCGCATGAGCTAAGCCGCTGGCTCGAGGGGCTCGGCCGTCGCCTACAGCCAGATGCGCATGCGCTTACGGGGATGCCGGTTCCCCTCCCCCCCCCGTTGCCTGGTTACGGGCAGGCCGTGGGCTTACCTGGCTGGGTGGGTGCGTAGGGCTGCAGTGGATGCGGCTTCGTTCGGACGCCCGCGGGCCTGCGTGGGACGGGAGCCTGGCGGCTCGCCCTGACCCTCGGCGGCCGCGTGGTCTCGGTCCTCCGGGTGGGGCGCGCCCTCCCACGCGCAGCCCCCAGGCAGGTGGAACCTAGGACCCGGCCGGCCGGCCTGGGTTCCTTCGCCTGGGGCCACGGAGGCCACGGACAGCTGAGGTCAGCGAGTCGGCCGGGTGCGGAGGATCCCCGGGAAAGGTGGGTGCTGCGGTCCGGTAGGATGGCGCTCCGGGCCTCTCACCTGCACTGGATCTCCCACGCCTGCCGGCAGGGTGTGCAGCCCTCGGGGATTTCGGGCGTGGCGGCCGCGGCTGCTGCTGCTGTTCTTGCTACCACGGGGAGGCCGCGGGGTGCGTGGCAGCCTGGTCCCGGTGGACCCGGGTAAAGGAGAGGAGGGAGTGTGTGACGCTGGCCGGTGCGGGCCGGATTCAGCCCGTCTGACGTGGCACTGTGGCCACTCTGCAAAACTAACATTTGCCTTTCGAGAGCCAGGTTCCTAACCTCTTTCAACACAGGGTAACACGTGGTAGCCTCAGCCTGCGGTGGGTAGGGAAGCCGCAACCTAGCCCCAGGCCTGACCCACACAGGCACTCCTCAAGGCGCTCTGCTTCTGGGTTATTATTATTTTATTTTTTATGTGTATGAGTGCCTGCATGTGTGTAAGTGCCCGCGGAGGTCAGAAGACGGCGTCGGATTGCCTGGAAAGGGAGTTAGCTGTCATGTGGGTGCTGGGAACCAAATTTGGGTCCTCTGCAAGAGCAGTCTGTGCTCCTAACCGCTGAGCCATCTCTCTAAGCCCCTCTGGTTTTGAGCCCAGGCCTGGATGTGGAGCTCAGACTGCGCTTGAAACTCAAGATCACCCGTGCCTCAGCCTTCTGAGTGCTGAGATGTCTGGCATGGGCCACCAACACCTGACTGCTGCCCACTCTGTCATAGGGGACGCCCGTCCCGTCCCGTGTCCCGTGGTCCCGCACCCCCACCCCGGTCCCCTAGCAGACAGCTATCACTGTCAAAGGAAGGGGTCCCAGAGGCAAAGCTTGTGCTTTGGAGCTGGAACTCACTTCTCAAGGGTCAAACAGCCCCCCCCCACCCCAAGGAAGAAGCCCAGGACTCCAGTGTCTACCCTGGTGACACTCCTCCCACACCCCCAGGGCAGGCATGTTAGAGGCAGCAGGGTCGACTCTGGTCTGTGCAGGGCCTGAGGGCTGCTTTTTCTTCCTGTCCTGAGGTCCTAAGGTAGAGGCCCCGCTGACTTCCTGTAGACAGGCTGGTGTCCGATAGCTAGGCACCTTAGACTGTGGCCCTGGTGACATAGACCCCAGTTTACCACCCAGCCTACACCATGCTCCGTTTGCTGACTTTAACCACTGGGCATCAGGCTCATCTGTAAGATGAAACAGGGCAACCTCTGGACAATCTGGGGACTGAAATGGGGTTGTTTGATGCACAGCAGGCACAAGTTGGGGCTGCCTGGGGCCAGTGGAGCATGAGGTGACTCCTATGTCCAGTGGCGCCTCCCCGCTGCCATGGATACCCTGGTTATGTCTTCTCCCTTTGCCTGGGAGACTCGCAGCCTCTCCCCTAATCTGGTTGGAAGTTAGACACAGTGTCTCCAGCTCCTGGTGGCCCCTTGGAGTCAGCACCTGGCACACACCGTGGGGAGCTGGGGCCACACTGCAGAGTGCACAGAACACAGGGCTTGTGTGTGTAGAGGCCATGTCAGAAATTCCCTGTCCTTTCTCTCACTGTGACCAGTAACTACTTGGTTTCACTGTGTTCTTTGTACCTCCACTTAGCCTCTGCACTGTGGTGTGGTAGCCCCTGGGCAGTTCACATGTAGCTGATCTTCACTGAGCTAGGCTGGGAATGTGAAGCACACTAGACTGGAAAGAATTCACAGTGACTTACTGGTGAGTGTTGTTTTGTGTTGAAACGACAGCATTCTGGATATGTTGGATTAAATAAAACACATTATTGAAAGATATTTCTTCTGTTTCTTTTTCTTTTTCTTTTTTTTTTTTTTTTTTTTTTTTTTTTTGATCTTTTTGAGACAGGGTCTCCCTGTAGCCCCAGCTGTCCTGGAACTCATTATGTAGACCAGGCTGGCCTTGAACTCACAGAGATCCATCCGCCTGCTTCTGCCTCTGCTGGGATTAAAGGTGTGCGCCACGATGCCCAGCTCATCTGTTTCTTTTTAAAAATATTTATTTTGCCAGGCATGGTGGCACATGCCTATAGTCCCAGCACTTGGGAGGCAGAGGCAGGCAGATCTCTGTGAGTTCAAGGCCAGCCTGGTCTACATAGTGAGTTCTAGGACAGCTGGGGTTACAGGGAGACCCTGTCTCAAAAAGACCAAAAAAAAAATTTATTTTATGCATGTGAGTGTTTAGCTGTATGTAAATGCACTGCCTGCGTGCAATGCCCTTGAAGGCTAGAAAAGGGCATCAGATCCCCTGGAACTGGAGCTTTCAACAGTTGTGAGCTGCCATGTGGGTGTTGGGAACCAAACCTTAACCACTGAGCCACCTCTCCAGCCCGTTTTTTCTGTTGTTGCTTTTTTGTTTTCTTTAATGTAACTAGGACATATGAAACTATGTGTGGCTGACAGTACATTCCCACCGGACAGTGCTGGCCTACGTGAGGTACACTTGGCACCCCCAACCTAGGCTCATAGCCTCCTAGAATCAGGCTGCTACAGGGAGCTGCCTCTTCTCTGAAACTGAGAAGCTAGAGGCAGGCCTCTAAAGGGTGCTGGAATAAGAGGCAGTGTTGCTGGTAAAGGTGGGGTGAAGGTGGGTTGGCCTTGAGCCTCGGTCCCTTATGTCTGCTGGGTGTAGTCACAGCATCAGGTAGATTTTGGTGGTCTGTGCTTGCTCTGTACATGGCACTACTCAGCTCCTGACAAGAGCCTCATCCTAGACACAGAAGCTGGAGGGGCAGAAGGGGCAGCATCCAGTAGTCCCAGCCAAAAGCATGTTAGGGCCTGGGGCACAGAAAGAGCAGGTGGGGAGGGCTTCCAGGAGGAGTAGGTGATGGGCTTGAGGGGAATGGAGTCGTTGGATGGGAAGCAGCAGGAGGCAGAGACAGCTGTGCCACACAGCTCTGGATTATTGCTTCCAGGCCCTATAGTGTCCAAGCACCTGTCGCTGTGCCACTAGGGTGGTTACCATGTGGCCAGTGTGAGGGAGATTCCTTCTTGAGGGTTAAGGCAGGGGCAGTGGTGGGCATCCTGGAAGGAGGCTCATGCCAGCTGCACTTTTCTACCTGCTCATACTACAAGGCCAGCCTGAGGTAAGGTGCTGTTCCCAAACAGTTCTACCTCAGTAGGCCTGCCTTCCATCCACAGTATCTGAGGCCTTCCCTGTGTTCAGTGGAAGTGTGGAGTGAGATGGCACTTCTGTTCACTCTGCCCAGCCCTTCCCAGAGCTGATGTGTGGTCAGAAGCTGACACATTAAGAAGCCCTGGCCAGTGTACTCCCATGCTGGGCTGCCAGGAATGAGGCTGAAGCCCCTCCCCCATAGGAGTGGGCACACCTCCTCTGGATGCCCTCCAAACTGGCAGAGTACAGGCAAGAGGTCTTGAGCAATTTTGGGGCAGTTGCTGTATCCAACTGACTGCAGTGTTCTAGAAGCCAGAGCCTCAAGGCCACCATGAACCTGTTTTCCCCATCTGTAAAAACAGTCTGTCCAGGGCTTCCTCTAAGGCTTCTGGAACCTGCCAAGCATGCATGTTAACTGCATGGCTGCAGCCTTCCAGGTGACCATGTGACTGCACGCTTACATGCCTAGTGTCCTTCCTGCAATAGGCTTGGCCCATGGTGGGTCTCAGGGAGCAGTCTAAGATTATGGAGCCACCATAAGAGATGATACACAAGCAGTAGAAACACAAGGTAGATGTTGACGACACACCGACCCAGGGCTACAGACGGAGCAGGAAGATCTCTTAGCTGTGATGGGGCCCTGGGGAAAGTGAGAGGCGGCCTTCCCAGCACAGCATGTTAGATGATGCAGCGTCCCTACAGCACTCCAGGAACAGCTGGCTGGGGCTGGTCTGGGGCTATAGAGAGACAGACTGGGCCTCTGTCTTGGAGTAGGTGTGGATATTAGAAAACTAATGATATGGATCACCATGACACACTTGTCAGAGGAGGAGCAGGAACTCTGGGTTGAGCTGGACAGTTGGTGTGGAGTTTCTGCATGGTGAAGGAAGGGAGCCCCTGGGGTGTTGCTCTGGAGGGCCTGCTAAGGGGGAGGAGCATCTGAAAGCAGCAGGCCCCGGGGGCTTTTCAGCTGGGGGTGATCCATCTGGCCTGCCCCACAGGCAGCCTTTGGCATCCCAGGCAAGCGGTGGGGCTTCTGGGGCAAACTTCTGGGTAGAGCCCACCCCAGATGATGACCCAGATCGAGCTGTCTCACTGCATCTGCTTCTGTGGCCCCTGGGACAGCACCTGTCAGCCACAAAGACCAACACAGCCATAGGGTGAGATTCCAAAGATTAGGTGGAGATTTACAGGTGCAGGGATAGACTCCCCAGGAGTCTGTGGGTAGGGAGGAACAGGGCCTTGGAGGAACTGCTGTGTCTGAAGGGAGCCATGTGCTGGCCTGGCTGTGGCCCAGGCTCCTGGCCTGCTAAGTAAGCCTCTGGTCCATGAGAATTTGATTCTGCATCTGAAGTGATTGTGCTGGAGGACACGGCTGAATGGACACTTGCATTCATTTTAGGAGAGGTGGCCTCTCATGTTTCGGGAGTCACATGGCTCTGGCTCAAATGGGTGAGCTTGAATGAGTCACATTCCTCTTTGACCTCTTTTCTTGTCTGCAACATGAGTAATAACTCTTGGGCATGGCCAATGGTGGGCGTAACTTTCCACCTGCTGGCGGAGGAGCACTGGCAGAACACTGCCAGCAGGGGGAGGCAGAGAGCTGTCTCCAAGTCGGCCCTGCTGGGTGGCAGAGGGCCTTTGGGAGCTCTGGGCATCGGTGCCAGGGACATCCAGAGCTCCTTCAGATCCTTCCTCACTGCATCCAGATGCAAGTGTTGCCTACCCCCAACTCCAGACACCCCACACAGCAGCCCTCTCTAGGGGAGTCATTCACTTCTGAACTCCTGGGGGTGGTGGGCTTGCTGAAGACAGCAGGTACTCCATGAATTGAACTTACTGGAGTAACAGAAGATGGTGATTCTCCAAGCTCTGAGC